TCAGCAATTATTTACTGAATTTGCTGAAGTTTGTGGCTTTAAATATTTGAAACATACTCAAGAGTTTTCTTTGGGGCAAAGTTAACTGGACATCAGCAATCACATCTGTATATATTGCATCTTTCATTGCTGAGTCACGCCTGTGAAATAATCTGTTTTGGATGGACAAAAATTCTGATCAAAAGTCTATACTTGTTTTATGGCAACGTCAACTAACTTTCAAGACACTCTTCAAACTGTTGCTTGAGCACGAGAGCAGTTGGTCTGATCTGAGAAAACGGACAGTTAAAGAGAAAACACTGAAAATGAAAAGGACGAACTGAAGCATTTTGTAACTTAACGATGCACAAGGGTGTTAACATCTGACTGTTTTGCAACAATACAAAATTTGCACAACTTGTGGTCACATAACAGAGTTTCACTTTCACAAACTCCCTTGTTTCTCCTCTACAACTCTGCAATGCGAAATCCACAAAGTACAAAAGTACGGTGCAAACTCTGTTAAAGAGAAAACACTGAAAATGCAAAGGACGAACTGAAGCATTTTGTAACTTAACGATGCACAAGGGTGTTAACATCAGACTGTTTTGCAACAATACAAAATTTGCACAACTTGTGGTCACATAACAGAGTTTCACTTTCACAAACTCCCTTGTTTCTCCTCTACAACTCTGCAATGCGAAATCCACAAAGTACAAAAGTACGGTGCAAACTCTGTGTCTAATGTCACAGCTGTGTTTGCACAAAAGTGGTTGCATTCACATATTTGCATATTATGTATTTCAGGCCTTTCAAAGTCACAGGCTATCACCCTCTGGTCATCCAAGATGTAGAGGAGTTCATCCAAACAGATTTGGATAAATTTAGCATAATTACTGTACATCACTTGCTCACCAATGGATCCTCTGCAGTGAATGGGTGCCCTCAGAATGAGAGTCCAAACAGCTGATAAAAACATCACAATAATCCACAAGACCATCTGTCCATTAATTAACATCTTGTAAAGTAAAAAGCTGTTTGTTTGTAAATCCATAATCTATAACAACGCTTCCTCTAGTTAAAAAGTCCATCCCCTTTTGTTCTCTCAATCACAGACATATTTGTTTAGAACTGTTTTCACTTGCAAACAGTGCTTGAGCTGAGCATATTTATCTCCTGATTCAGACGTGACGACTTTTTCACTGAAGAAAGCAAGATTACAGATAGAGAATTCATATTTTAGCCTGAAGCAATGGTTTGAAGAAAAAAAAAATGTCTGAACGATGGAATTGTTTATTACAAAGATGCAGCTTTTCACTTCACAAGGCATTAACTGATGGACTGGAGTGGTATGGATTACTTGTGGATTACTGTAATTTTTTTATCAGCTGTTTGGCCTCTCATTCTGACGTCACCCATTCACTGCAGAGGAAGTGACAATTGGTAAGCAAGTGTTATGTGATATTAATACTAAATTTCTCCAAATCTCTTCTGATTAAGAAAAAGAAAATCATCTTTATTTTGCAAGCCAAAATATAATGACTTGCCAAAATATGCTGAGACAGACAATGGGGTAAAACAAGAGTAAAAATTGCCAGTGCTTTTACAAAATGGAGGAATATATAAAAATGGAATGGACAGATAAGCTGACCTCATACGTCATTCCCCCGGAGCTGCTTCCGTGTACGACAGTGAGTGCAAGCTATTCAAGTGATTATTACGTTCTGAATATGGATATTTTTCTTACAAAAACGCATTGATTCGCTACAGAAGGCCTTTGTTCACCCCCCGGAGCCGTGTGAGACACTTTTTTTTTTATGGAGGGCGATTTTTATTTAAGTTATTTTGGACTGATGCAATGCAACACCCGCTGAGTGGCATTAAACAGCTTGAAAGATCAAAGACAATTTTTAATATAACTCCGACTGGATTCGTCTGAAAGAAGAAAGTCATATACACCTAGGAAGACTTGAGAGTGAGTAAAACGCAGCCTAATTTTCATTTTTGGGTGAACTAACCCTTTAAGGGGCATTTGCAAAGGTTTTGCTTCATTTTTGTAATTATAATTTGTAATTAATATATACTGTATATATATATATATATATATATATATATATATATTTCTTTTTTTTTATTATTATTTATTTCTTTTTTTTTAGATTAGCAACATTGGCTATTAATATTTACGAAATGTACTGCTGTTTTCAATTTCTTTAATATTGCAGAATATTAAAGCAAATATAAATATATACACTTTCTGTGCACCTGCACGTGCAATCATTGACTTGTTAATGCTCATGTTCATATCTGCCATCAACCATCCTTCTCTCTTTACATCGCTTTTAGCATTCACCACTGGAAAAAAAACAAAAAACATCTGCAGACCACTAAACCTGACTACCCAGGATTCATATCGAGGCAGAGTAAAGTGTGACCTAGATGATACTGCAGGGCTGCCAACTCTCACATATTCAGCGTGAGACTCACAAAATTGACACTTTTCTCACGCTCTCACGCCACACATCCATTTTCTCACGCAGTCAAAAGCACCCCCAGTTAAAATGGCAATAATATGATATTGGCGATTTGGTAAACGCTCCTGTGCGCATTTGTGTTTGCGCTCTGGAAAGCATCAAAAGATTCTATTTACAATGTGTTTTCGTAGCACTGAGCAATGTAGCCAATCGCAGACATACCTGTTGATTTCTTGAACAATTTTGATTGGCCATTGCGTTCACTCACCTCTAAACGCTTGATTTGTTCCCCTGCATGCTCGCGAATCCAATTTCAATTTCATTATGTGGTTTATTGGCATGACAATTGTTACAATGTATTACCAAAGCATAGTGTTTACATTGAATCTAGAACAGATAGGCCTATGTTGGAAATAAAAAAATAAATAAAAAAATAAAATGAATAATAAATATTAAAAAAAAATAATACATGCATGTATATTAGGGCTGTCAAAAAAAATTTGAATTTCGAATATTCATCGTTGAATATTATATCGTATGAATATAAAAACGTTGCATTCGAATTTTAGGTGTGCGTCAGGCAGCCAGCCTTATCAGTGGAGCACGAAATGCGACGACGATGTAAGTGTCATTGCATTTTAATGCTTTTGTTAGCCTGTCCAGTTGAACCCACTAGATGCGGCGCTGCTACGTTGTTAATTCAAAATATTGCAGAAAAAAAGAACATCAATGCGGAGAAGATCTTGTTTACATCAAAACTGAAACCAAGCCGTTCACACAGAACGCATATTTCGCGCATCTATCACCGTTGCACTCGAGAACCGCATGTTTGGAAAGCCATGTAAAATTAATGCAAGTTCTTTGAACTTTCTTTGAACTTTTGTCAACTTTGAAAAAACATATCTCGAGACTTACTGGCG